TTTTAACACTTGACGACATCAAAAGGTAGACCGCAGGAAAGAAAATGTTACAGAATATTTGCAGACGGTAAAATTTGTTTGTGCGAAATTTGGATGTCGGAGTAATAAAACATTCCAAATTTGTGGAGCAATTCAATTCAGGCGTGACCACAGTTGAAATATTTGCACAAGTGCAATAGTATTCTATTCTTTAGAGAATGTGATCATCATCAACACCATTTTGTTGATTCTAGATCGTCCATCATCAATTTCGGCTAACCCACGCGTGCGGGCCATTAAATTGATTGGCCCTCGCCTTCCAATTAATCTTTACGCGAACAGAATTAGCGTCTGTGATTTATTCGCAAGGCACCACTTGCAAAACGCATCTGACACACTACTAGACTATTTCCAGACCATTTCAAAGAGAGAAATAAAGTCTTAACTTCAAATTAGCCAAGCAAAAGGCGAAAGATTCTGCGAGGGATACGACTCTATCTGCCTCACGCAAAATAGAGAACACATTGGGTGGAAAAATCATTAGGCTTAGTCAATTTTAATTACACTTATTGGTAACTTAATATAAACTAGTGGTGTATGGCATTGTGCTTTAAGGCAAACTGCTCAAAGTTCACGTTTCGTAATGAAATATTCGAAAAATAATCATTGTTTTCAAATTCATTATCATTATTATTTTATAGACAAAATTAAATAGCTTATAAATTGAAAGACAACTTTTACCAAAGCTAGTAAGCACGTCTCCTTAGCAATAGAAATCGAATGGTTTTTGAATAATTCAAATCAGTTGACCAGTGTTCCCGAAAACGTCGACAAAAATTTTTATTCATACATACATACATACTGCATACGCCCATACACACACGCGCACACATCAATTTTTTTCTAAGGTACGACTTGCAACTTCCCTGTGGCAATGTTTTTCATTTGAAAGCTAAGTACTCGTTGAATGACCCTCGTATGCCAGAATACTCAGAAACCTCCGAAACGTCAAGATTTGCAAAAAATGTATTTTCGATTTTTGGCCGATTACTATAACTTATTCTACATGAAGTTAATAAATTTAAGAATGTCGACTGCGATTTTAATGTTATTCAATCTATTATTAAGAGTAAATAAAATTAAGGAATGTAAACTAAATATTTTTAAACTGAAACTAAACAATTGCAAGGTAAAAATAGGATGTAAAATAGAAAACTGTAAAAATAAGGATCAATTTTAAGGTAAATTATGAACATTAAGAAATAATAATCAACTTTCTTCTCTCGTAAATATAAATATATGGAAAATAGTTATGTATATAAAATATAATTTTATTTGTTATAAAATATAAAACAATTTATTGATTATAAAATTTTATAATATAAAAATGACCAATCATTTTGTTTCTGTTTCGATTCCAAGCTTGCTTGATTCCCCACAAATATTAAGCAAAATATAATATATAAAAAAGTCGTAAAATTTGAATTTTCTTATACCTACTAAGGCGGTTATTATTGCTCCGAACTGGTAAATAATAGACGTTGAAAATCTTTGAAATTTATATTTTTTAATAAATAAATCAATTATGTAATATAATGTCTGAGATATTTATTTGGAGTTGTTACATTAATTTGTGAATAACTTAATTAACAGTACCGTAAACTTATAAGTGCTTATTATGTTAAATTAGGCAACAATCGTATTCTTCAAACAATTTATGTGTATATTTACAAGAAATATAAACATATATGCATAAACAAAACCTAATCGAACTGAGTTAAAATAAAGGCATTCGAAAACCTTGTCTCATATTAATAATTATGAGACAAATGTTTTTCGAAAAAAAATTACCAAATTTACAAACAAAAAAAAATTTATATTATCATTTTTTTTAAATTTTGATAGATTCAAATTTAAAAAAACAATCTAAATGTTGGACTTTAAAAATTTTTCTCCAAATGTTGGATTCTAATAGCTTGGTGGGTTTTCTCAAACACTGCACGAACCTTTTTTAACCCTTTGCGGCACATACCTTCTAAATGGCTTGACCTGCCTCTCGCAAAAACTAAACAGAACCAACCAAGTGTTTTTCGAATAATTCATATTAGTTGATCCTTTCTATAGAAAATGTAGTGAACATTTGATTCAACTTTAAAAGTAAACATTTAAAATTAAAACTCTTAGTACGGAACCCAGAGAATGGACACAAAATTAATATTCATTATTAATATATATAATATCTGATAATTTGACTACAAAATAACGTTTTTTTAAACTTTTTTTCTGGATCTCCAAAAATGATGACCCTGTATTCCCAAAAATACAATCAGCTTTCCATTTTGTCAATTTAAATAAAATGTATATTGAATCATACAAATTCGCCTCTGCATTCTCACAAAAACTGACTTGCTATTTTTGGCACTGCTCAACGTCTGGATCTGCTTTTTCCAAAAAACTCATCAGCACGTCTTTCCATCAATAGAAATCGAATGTTTGTTGAATCATTCAAGTCAGTGCTCTTAAAATCGTCGACAAAATTTGTATCCGCACGCACACAAACACATATAACAAAATATTCTAAGGTATGCCAAAATGTTCAGAAACCTTTGAAACGTAAAAAATGCAAAACTTTGCATTTTAGATTTTTGTGATTACTATAGAACTTACCTTACGGATAATAAAACAAAACTCGTTAATTACCAAAAAACTATTCAAACTAGTGGCATTATGCCTTAAGGCAAATTGCTGGACCACAATTAAATATTCGAGCAGAAAAAATCCATAAATTCTGATCAATGATTATTAACAATTGTTTTAAATGTTTTTAAATGTTGAAAATGTTATTGATTATTTTTAGTGAAAGTGAATATTATACCTAAACAGCTGAATCTCAATTCTTATTGATTAGATAGATTATGTATACGCATTGGAAAATTCATGCAACTCACAACTAGTTACTTAAATATTTTCTTGTATGTCGTCATACTACTATATTCATATTATTGTCAACAGTTTTGCTTATTTAGTTACCTATAAACTATTAAAATAAAAATAAATTTATCACCAATATTTTTCCCTTAACAATTCAAATATACCCTCTTATCTCTTCCAGCCAGCCGCGAAAGCGCCTTCGTGCACGCGATAGCTGCTGCAGGAGTTGCGGTGCAGGTGTCGAGAGCGTGCCGAGACGGCCGACTGGCCTCCTGCGGCTGCTCGAGGGCGCCCAGGCCCAGGGACCTCCAAAAGGAATGGGTCTGGGGCGGATGCGGCGACAACCTGGAATACGGAGCCAAGTAAGTTAATAAGTGATCAATGTCGATGTTAGAAATTGGTGGAAATTGATGGAAATTGATGTCTGTATTTGGTTCAATCGTAATGTTGTAAATCATGACTGAACTTGAATTTTATTATGCTGCCTGAAAGTTTACACGTGATAAAAAAGAAAAAAATCTAAAACATCTACCAAAATGTAGTTGTAAATCATTTTAAAAACTTCTGCGAATGCCTGTGTGTTTATTGTTTCCATTACTGTTTTATTGCCATGAATTAACCATTAATTTCATTATATTAGTTTTTATGAATTTTTCTTTCGAAACTTCTGTTTTCTTGCTTTCTAGTCATGTCCATCTGTATTTTTTTTCTTTCTAATCCTTTCAGTCCTTGTATTTTGTTTTCCACGACGTTATGTGGAATGCACTTTTTTGCAGAATGGATCCGATCCAGTTTCATTTTCTTTTCAGGATTGTGCTCAGTATAATCATTTCTTCGGCCAATCTTCTTAGGACTTCTTTATCTGTTCACTTTATTTTTTCCATTTGCCTTCAGCATCAGTAATTGTTCTGAATGAATATTTTATATAAAATTTATTTAATATTATAATCGAAAAATTTTATTTTTGTCGATTTTGTTATCCAAAAATCGGCCCATTAGTCTTTAATTTCATTTATGTCATCTGCCTACTTGATATATTTCCTAACATACTTCAGCGCTTGACATATTAGAGAAATGATTTTATCTTTTGCTAAAATATTTGCTCCTAGAATAGATAGATCTATTTATTTGCATCATTAAGAGTAAGATGTGATCTTAATAGAGCATTCAAGGAAATATATAATATGTGCATCTCTGGTAAAAATTCAGTACTTACCCAACAGCGTTCCTTACAAATGAAAAATGACAAACCGTTTCTTGTATCAGGAAATAGTATCGATAGAGGAGGTGCGGTGTAATTAAAATAACTTAATACTGATTACTCTGCGTGACTTTAAATTTTTTCAGGGATGTTATGATAGTAATAGTATTACGGAGATGCTAATTATAATAAAACCAACAGACTACTAATTTGTTAATTTTACCTCAAAGTACAATAAAAACATATTTTGTTTCGTGCATTCGAAAGTTTTTTAAGTAAATTTTGAGTGTGGACGAAAATTGACTGATTTCTTTGGTGGATTTTTTTATGCTGTTCTTTCCAAATATCTTCAAGATTTCTTAAAAACCATTCTAAATGAGAGTGCTGGTACAAAATTTTGATGCTCTATTGCATCCTAGATTTAAAATTGGATAACATGCAATCGGCAAGCTCATGAGTGTTACTGATTTTTTGTTTTCCAGGAAGTTTGTTACGACCAAACCGAATGACTCCCAGGTTTTCTGATCGACTTTATATATTGATAAAATCATGACATGTTGATTATTGAGTTGCCTAATTTGAGGACCATTGAATGTATCAATTATGATTTTTTTTATCTTCTGTTTTAACCTTAGTCTTTCAATCTATCATATGGTAGGCAGAAAATGTAGATGTTCTAGGTTGTTCATTGATGGCATGGATAGGGATCGTAAAAAGGGTCCATGATCACTGAGGTTATGAGAGCTATGATCATTTGCTTCTATTGCTTGAATGTATTACATTGATATTTACCAAGAAACAGTCGTCGTGGTGCTTCAAAGGTTTTTGAAGTAAAACTGCTTTAGGCGCGAAAATGCGCAGAGCGTTACGCTCGAGTCGAGTGCCAATGATTCGTCATTCGATCTTGATGATATTATTTCTAAACGGCCCGATTGTGATTGGTCGTCGTGTCGCATGAGTATGATTGCTTTGATAGTATGCATAAACGTAGTGTGTCCCCGCATTTAGTGAAAATATTAAAAAAATGAAAAATCTGTGCGGTGTAAGAAACGTAAGTTTATTGAAATAATTTGTATTACTCGTGGTTACTATATATTTTTAGAAATTATCTTTATAGGCAAGACACATAATACAGATGCTCAAAGAATGAGACTGTATCGCTAGCGAGATATCAAAAAAAAAAACAAACAGTCAATGAATGTAAGTTAATTTTAATTACATGGCAAGTGAAACAACTGTTCTCATTCAAATGTCAAAGCTTACAATTTCATTTTAGTGATACTGAACGTAAAATATTGCAAAGTTGCATATTTTTATAAATAATTATTACTAATGAAGAATGAATTGATAATCAGATTTATTACTCTAAATAAGAGATCAATCACAACAATAGTTTGTGTAGCAGTATATCATTTATATACAGATATACTTTATAATGGACATCTCTGCAGTTTATTTATTGATAGTGTTAATGAAATTATTCAAGATTGTTATATTACAGCTGCCCACTGTGTGAACGAATATTAGAGAATTTATTAATCAGTAATTACTTCATTTCTCTAAGGTTCAGGTTCTAAATTCTAATTACAATGACAAACCGATCATGCCGTATTTGAAGTATGATAAATAATTATGTAAAATGTTTGACATTAAAAAAATGTGTGCATCGTGAGTGTTACCATATTACTAATAAACATTCAAAATTGTTATAAGATGTATTTATTTACAACTGAAATGCCATCCTGTGATAACAAAAAAGTTTTATTTTAATCGCGTGTGAACTTTACGCGCACTCTTTTATTTTCAAATGACGGGGGTATAAAAATTATAGGCACATAGTATATAGAACTCATATTTTATCTTGATTGCACAATTCTGTTTTAATGTGGTTGAAATATGCTGTCTTCGCGCAGTTCAATATAAGTTTTCAGTATTTCTTAAAAACATTTTCACTACAGATCTAACATGAAGTTTCTTGATTATGTGCATACTGTCTTAGAGTCAAAGCCATACCGAAAACAGCAGATATAACACTTGAATTGATTATTGAAATGATGGGGGTAGTTTCCTAAGGTATGGCAAAATGTTTAGGAAATTATTATTTACCTCTTGGGTCGTCCTCTTCCGGTGTCCCCTATACAACCGGCATTCCCATGCAATATAGAATTGTCATGTTCATGTTATCTATTCTTTCGTTTATTCCAACAGCCTTCCATTACCATCGCCGTGAGCAATAAATTCACAATTCATTTGAGTCGCAATCAGCAATCGGTCTATGTCCATGCCAAAGAAAAGAACTAACCTAAGAGTACGAGTACGAGTGCGTTCTAATGACTCTAACATTCACAATAAATAACTGACATGGATAGAAATGACAAAACTGATTCCGACGATAGAAAACTATGTACTATGGGATAGATAGATAGTTGAGAGGCAGAGGTTGGGAAACTTAGAACGAATGATTGATTGAATGAAAAAGTTGTTTGAAGTTTTAGAAAATTTGGAATAAGTAAGCTAAGATTCAGACAATACAAAATAGCGCTAAGATTTAGACAATACAAAATACTAGATCAATTCTAATAATTAAAACACTTGACAAGACCATCTCGATCAATCATATAAACTCGTTTCGAATTACCACATCGATAGCCAATGACGAATCAGTATTTGTGGCGTAACGCGTTTCCGTTGCTTTTGTACTGAGAGGGTAACTTGGGAAGGTTACTCCATACAAATATCTTTATAGTAATTACAATAGAATAGAATGCTACTACTTATATAATTATCAAATACTAGCTGACTTGGCAAACGTTGTTTTGCTAGTAATGTATATTCTAAACAATTTCTAGAGAATCAAAAATATTAATACTTTTAGTTTATAAGGATGTGTTGTTTGAATGCTATATACAATGAGGTATTATAAAAACAATAAACCCCATTAGTTTGTCTATATTTTGCCAATACAATCAAATTGGAAGTTTTATACACTTTCTATAGAAAACATGGTATAATCCAATCCAAGTCTTTTTTTGGGTCCTTCGACTTATTGATTACCTTTCTAGTTTTTCAGATTCTTTTTGAATTCTGAATTTTTTGTATAATTGTAAATAATACTACAGAGCTTCTAAAAAAAATTTCTTCGAGGAGAGATAGAAAATGAATTAAGTATTTCATCTTTGACCTGCTTTTTGAAAAGTTTCAAGTAACATTCAATGAATTAAAGTGAATTTAAAAAAAAGTATATATGTTGAGCAGGGCAAGGCACAAAGGTCCAATTTGACTTTGAGCAAATATTAATTATATTATATAAATCAAACTAATAATATCACAACAAATAACACATTTCAAACTAACAATTATCTGACCACGTTCAGTAAAACTGCCAGTTACTTCATCATTGTAGAAATGTGTTTTTTTGATGTCTTTCAAAAATTTGTTATCTAGACCTTTTTACCCTATAGTCGGGGTAACTTAAAACGGGCAGGTGGCAAACAAGTTCAACGTCTTATTTTAATTTTAAAGGTATTTTACAGAATAATTACATTTTTAACTAATGCTAAAAAACTACCAACGAAAGAAAATACTTTTATTATAAATTTTCAAAGATTACCGTTTATCTCCCGAAAGCAAAGTCATGAGAATCAATGTTATAGCAAGTTATACATCTTTTTCCCTCTACTTTCAAATATTGTTGTTAAACAATGCTTAATTTTACTGGTTTTTGACACATCGGTGGTGGACCTTTTTAAGCCCGGACCTTTATATATTACTATCTATTCTTCGATAAATTCTGGGAAATTACAACTGGGAAAATGTTATTCGACAAAATGTCCCTTTGATCGATACCAAATTTAGGTTCTGAATTTAAATAACTTAAGTAAAAAATGATATAACCTAGAAAATGTTTAATAAATATCAATGAGTATATAATTATACAAATGAGATCTTTCAGAGCACCGTGTTTGAGAAAAATATGATTTGCAAAAAAAGAGTGCTAGAACGCCAGAAAGCGCAACTTTATATTAACATTTCAAAAAAGTTAATATTTTGAGTTTCTAGTAACACTTGGGATCCGTTTAAAAACGTTTTAATAATAATTAAATAATATTCACGTAAAACATCCTATTAAAGGTAATTGAACATCATCTGTCAAAAGCGTTT